GCTACTCACGAATGAATATCTCTCCGACTTTCAGCCCAAAATGTTACTACAAAACCGAAACATCCCTAACTAGGGAACTAATCAGATAGACACTTTGCAGTAAGCCTCCGATCACACCCGGTCATAAGCCTGGAAAAAAAACAAAAGCAATTGATCATTACAATGGTTTAGCAGCAATAGAAACTGTAATAGCCGAAAATGAATTCTGTTTCCAGTGACCTCTGGGGACATTAGATAGTTTCGCACCAAACTGCACATTGCTACAAAGTCAAAAGATTAAAGATCATGATTTTTTTTTTCAAATGGATTCCATAAACGGCGCCAAATGCGTTAAAAAATAACAACTGTATACAACGCTATTCTCAGGTCAATGGTTAAAAATTGCTTCGAGGGAACGAAACCTATAGGTCTTACCGAGGGCTATTTAATTTGAAAATTGTGAATTGGCGCTACAGAATCACATACAAAGATCTGTACAAAATAACGGAAACCAACTCACTTGAAGGTTTTGAACAGCAGCAAAAATCGTCCTACCGGTTACGGATAATATGTATATAATAAAATTTCTCGAATATTCAGTACGGTAGATGACAATAACATACTGCTTAATAAATAAACGGGGCGTCTACTCAAATACGAGTGTCCACTAAAAATAACATTTAAAGAATACAAATCTGTTGGATTAAAAATAAAAAAATCTATTCACCTTTCTTTTCAAATTTCTTTGTTTACGTTAGTATGAAACTAAGAAGATACAGAGAAAAATCCGTGTTTAACCCTTTGAAGTCTGCGTTCCTGAACAATTTTAACCCTTCTGCTTGGACTCTTGAGACAAAATTCGCAAATAATTGGTATGTAATGTTTCACGGTAGATATAAAAATAAGACAGCCGATAGGAAAACAAGGCGTAAGTGTTTATCTACCATTCAGCCGGAAACTGAACATTAAGTCATTTTTTTCTACCACTGTTCAACCGGTGACTGGGCATTACTTCATTTTTTACCGGTAAATCGGTGATCAGGGCTCAAAGGGTTTAAGGCAAGTGTCAGCTTTGCTTGGTCATCACCGTTTTTACCAGAAATACTGTTTAACTCCATTGGATTTCTTTTTATGGGGACATAAAGAAAAATAATGTTTATTCAACTAAACCTCGATCTTTAGAGGAATTGCAAGCTAGGCTAAGTGATGTGATTGAAGGTATTCTTCAAAATCAGCTGCAAAATGTTTTCCAAGAAATACAGAATAATATGCCCTTTGTATGCGTCATGATGATGGAAATGTTGAAAATTAATAATCCCAGTCATAAATTCAAATTCTTCTTGCTTATCCTTTTTACAGATAATTTCTATCGAGTATTTTAATATGCATACAGATTTATAGACACAATGTATATAGTAATTTTCCAAGCGTAGCTTAGACGTGGCACAAGTCCAAAAGTATGGGGCGCCCAGTGAGGATGTATATATTGGGTGTATATTGACAATTATCAATTTATGCAGGTGTTGAAACTTGACTAATGCATGGAATAATAATGCAACACAAAATGTACTTAGAACAAAATGTATTGAAACAAGAAAGTGTACACAATATTTACATATAGTCTTTTGTATATTCCTCGTAAGACCGTTCCTGGAGAATGTGTTGACTGAGTCGCAGTCGGGCAGAGTCTCTGGTTGAATCTCTTGATTCCTTCCTCTCTTCCCGGTACCAACCATATTTATATGGTCGGTACTCCACTATGCAAATTAGGTGGATCCTACCACAACAGCAGGTTTACTTATAAGCCAACGAAAGTTCTTTGTTAAGCAATTTTTAAAAAATATTTTCCGATCATTGTCTAGTTAGCAATCCTTTTAGTGTTGGTTTCACGATAAAAAAAAAGACTTCAGACGGGAAGGAAAATTCATGACAGCTTACCCCGATCATTATATTATATGTGTCTGGCTGATATTGACTGTGATCCGGAGAGATTAAACTCAGCGATAATAACACATGAGGACTGTCGTTCGGAGTTTCCGTGGCAAGTCTTTTGCACCGTTACTTTTTTATCGACAGATCCAAAAAGTGTGGATGGTCCGACACAAGCCTTCAGCACTTGAAAGAATCATTGTGTTGGTTTACTGACAACTACACCTAATTAGTTCCACATATATCCGGCTACCGTGAAAAACTCTATGAAACAACATCAACTTCATCTTGGCACTTGGTATGTACGAACTCTCCAGGACAACAACTCAGCACCAGAAAGAAAAACAGCTCTGGTCGCATTGGAGCTAAAGAAGTACAACATTGATATAGCTGCACTGAGAAGTAACCATCAGTCGACTACATGAAACAAGAAAGCAAAATAAGACAGCTAACAGTGTTCCTGATGCACTTGGATACAATGCATTCTCCTGTACTGTTTGTGGTCTTTTGTACAATTCTCGAGCCGGTCTCAAATGACATGCCTGTCATAGGCATGTAGATAATTAGTTCGGGGTCCTCGGAACCTCATACATCGAACGATAGGAGATCCGTCATATATATATATATATATATATATATATATATATATATATATATATATATATATATATACAAATTCCCCGATATCTGAGAACTTTCAGCTTTTTTAAGAGATTTCGTTTTGTTTTTTCATCATTTTTCATTCTATGCAAAAGTTTGTACCCGATTAGAAAATTAAGAACAACATTTTAGATACTCAAAAAAATTATTTAATTAGTCAACTACATAGCCTCCAATGTTTTAAACACCTGTCTCATATCGATCTACAGGGGGGTAGTTTTTGATTGTATTTGTCAGTTGGAATGTTATGTAGAGACCCGGAGCAAATGAAAATCCAAAGGAGGAAGTCAGGAGAGTTTCCCCTTTCAACTCTTAAAGCTTCTGTAAGGAATTTTTTACAACATGCGTACTTTCGTTGTCGTGAGGGGAAATGACACCTTTTAAATTTACCAAAATCGACCATTTTTTTTCGAACCCAGGTCTCTTCAAATGGTGAAAATCAGTTGAGATATCGATTTTCAAACACTTAGCAATCTCTTCCACCGAAATCTTCGTTTTGTTCTCCACGATGGCAAACAGAGCGTCTTCATCGACGTCCAAATGTTCCGCCGGTTGTGGTTGATCGTCGTTTAGGTTAAAATCAACCCCCCTCCAACGAAATCTACCAAGCCACTTTTTAACAATCTGTAGAGTTGGAGCACAATTCAAACAAACCTTCTGAATATTTACTGTCGTAGTTCCGACGCTTACCCCTTTCCGAAATTCATAGAGCATAATATGGCGAAAGTACAGCTTTTCATCCTCCATCTTTAAGACATTTATTTGTCAACAAAATGTTAAGAGTCAACAAAGTATGATTCGCAACTAAACAATGCAAGATTTCAATCACACAAGAAATCGGTACCCCTCAAAAAAAGCCAGTATCAAGTTGAGGTCATTTTATATTAACAAAGGAAAACTGCGTATGTAGTTTTGTAATGTTCTGATATTATCTTTTGCGTTTTGTTTTCCACAGTATTTTTTGTCATTAGTAAGTATTTGTCGGATTTCTTGCTTTCTGTGGCTCTGTTGCTTAATGATTTGCGATTTAATTGCACGTAAATTATAGTAAATGATGAGTTTCACTTGCTGGATTTGTCAGTAAGTGATATGTATCGATATATTTGGTTTCTGATAATTTCTGAACGTTTTCTTTTAATCACTCCCCACCCCAAGCAAGACCGAGTTCTACAGTTGGGAAGTGCGGAAAAAAGTGGCGGTTACATTTAACTATTTCAACAGTAAAAGGGTGGGACCTAGATGCCAATCTAGTAGCACGCTTAAATTCATGAAGTCGGGGCACCAGAGACAACAAAATAGCTCTACTAAGCAGTTGCCATAAAAATAGTTGTATCAAAGACAGGAGGAAGCCGCATCACTCATGTGAGAAAGTCAGAATCGATTGCATTGCAGGTCATTCTTTGGATTTTTTTAAGAACCTCGAGATGAACAGCAGGAGCACGAGACCAGATATGGCAATAGTATTAAATGTACGGCTGAATAGTAGATTCTTAAACGTGCAAGATTAACTCTGATGAGAAAAACCTTCTGGCACGACACACTGAACCAACTTTCCTTGCAGCAGATGCAGCAATTCATTCAGTGTAGTTGTTCTACTTCAAGTCAGTTTAAAACGTGGGACCAAGAAGGAGCACTGAGACGTTCTCCAGGTTTCAAGCATCAGCCATGCTGATGGCGGTCAAGGAAGTTTCTCTCTGGTTGTTAAATGAGAGCATTTTAGTTTCGGAGGCATTAAAATTTACACTTCCAGCCCCACTTAATCACTGATTGGAAGTCGTTTTCAAGAACAGCGGCCTGGTTAACATTGTAAGCTCTTGTCAGCTCTTGTCAGCTATTCAGACAGCAGTAAATAGTAGTGCAATCTGCGTAAATGTCTACTTGTGAACTGATGATATCAGGAAGATCATTAATGAAAATCAGAAAAAGCGTAGGACCCAGGAGAGAGTCTGGGGAGACACCCGAGTTCGTTCAGAAGGATATTAATTTCACGATTTGATAGGAATGATTGGATTAAATCAGGCAATCGTCCTGTAATAAAGTATACCTTAAGCTTACGTAGAAGACCAGCATGCGAAACCCTGTCAAACGCCTTTGAGATATCTCTAGCTACAACTCAAGCTTCACAGTTATTATCAAGCGCTTACATCACATTTCTTCAGTAATGGAAAAAATAGTGAAGTCTTTCTTGTCGTGAGGCATATTTTTTTCTTTCGTTGGACTATTCAATTACATTGACATTAATTTTTCTGTTTAAGAAAAAAATAGGAAAGGTCAGCTCAAACCTGTATACAAAATAATAAAAACGTTTATAATAATGTGTACGTGTATGTATAATATCAGTTACTGAATTTAGTAGATTTATTTTACCCTGACGAGCGAACAGTATTTATGCGAAACTTCAAGTCAGAAGATAAGTTATTTATTCCTGGAAGCCCTATCTATCTATCTATCTATCTATCTATCTATCTATCTATCTATCTATCTATCTATCTATCTCTGACTTGTCATTATCTATCGATATATTTGGTTTGTTCATTATCTATCTATATGCATGCATATATACACAAACACAGACACAGGCACGCACACACACACACACATATATATATATATATATATATATATATATATATATATATATATATATTTCCATGACAGAAGATGACTGAATTTACAGTCGAAAGGACTTGCTTATTTAAGAAAAACCTAATACAGCTTATAATTTAAAAAAAAGAAGGATCATAACATTCATCGAGTGATTCGTAGGTTAATGCATCTTAAAATTTTGTTAGCGAAGGGATTTCGCCATTTTATATCATTAACTTTACTAATTTATTTTTTGTATGAATGATTCATCGAATATATATATATATAAATCAAACGACCAGATATAACCAATTGTATACGCTTATATATATATATATATATATATATATATATATATATATAGAGAGAGAGAGAGAGAGAGAGAGAGAGAGAGAGAGAGACATATGGCCAAGACAAAAGTGCACAATAATCGGGATAGAGCGAATGGAAATATAAGCAGTGTGGACACAGAGTTCAACACTGAAATGCCAATAGTCACGAACTGCTTTCAAGCATTAAACAGGCTCTCGCAATTCGAGTGTTTAGCTCTGTGTCCACACTGATTATGAGGCAAAGAGAGATATACACTCATGTTGGTAATGACAGAAAAGCTCATGAGAGTTTCATAGATAGATAGATAGATAGATAGATAGATAGATAGATAGATAGAATTTAGACAAAAAGGTTATAAATATAGACGTAGTCGTTGATAATCATATACTGTCGCGTGCACCCTTAGATATGTCTTTCTATGAGTGCGCCCTGTGTGTATAAAGCTACACAATCGTTCGTTTGTACGCGTTTTGTGTTTATACTGATGACACAGAGTCCCCATATAAGCAATAGTCAAATGAATACATATTCTCATATCAGCGGCGGATCTTACATCTGGCTTTGTTGTAAAGAAAATCAAAGATGGCGCTTTGTACATCAAAAGTTAACTTGTTTGTTTCTCTTCTGGCAATTTTTCAGCGGTTGACGGGGGATGAAGGTCACCTGTCGGTTGCACCGGTGACTTCCGCTATTAAGGTCATGCGCAGTCAACACAAACAGATAAACATTTCCGGCACAAAAACAATCAGTTAAAACACATTGTATGTATGTATGTATGTATGTGTGTATGTGTGTATGTATGTATGTATGTATCTCTTTCTTTCGCTTTCTATTTTTTCTTAAATTATTCTTTTTCTTAAACTGTTTTCTCTACTTTCTTTCACTTTCTTTGTTTTAGCTAAATTATTCTTTCTTTCTTTGTTTTTTTTATTATTCTCTTGATTTTTCTCGCTCATTTTTTTATTTTCCTTAAATCCTTCTTTCTTTCTCTCTCACTTTTAAAAAGGTTGTTGGTTAATCTCTCTCTCTCTCTCTCTCTCTCTCTCTCTCTCTCTCTCTCTCTTTCATTTGTTTTGTCAAATTATTCGTTCTTTCTCAATTTCTTTCTCCCTCTTTCTTCGTTTCATTTAAATAATTATCGCTCCTTTCTTTTTTTTAATCTTTTCTTTGTTTTTGTTATATTAATCTATCTACCTCTCTCTGTTTTTCTCTTTGTTTTTGTTAAATCGTTCTCTCTTTTCTCGCTCTATTTTCTCTTTGTTTTTTAAATGATTCTCTCTTTCTCTGTATATATCTTTCTTTGTCATTGTTAAGTTGCTTTTTTTCTTTCTCTTTCGAACTTTCACTTTTGTTAAATTATTCTCCCTTTCTTTCTCTCATTTCCTTTGTTTTTTGGAAAATTGTTTTCCTAGTATCTCTCTCCTATTTTATGAACTTTTCATCTTTTATTTCACTCACTCAGTCACCTTTTCCGATTCTCCCTTTCAATCGTTTTTTTCCCTTTTTTCATCATTTTATCTTTTTCCATCGCTCCCACATGAACTCCTTTTCAAATTAATCTTTAACTCTTTTTTCGTTCTTTTGCCTTCTCCTGTATTGCGTCTACCTCTATTTATTCATGTTCCACTGATACAGGAATCGTTTACGTAATTAAAACAACGTTAATAGAGTTTCAATACCTGTTGGGCAGGACATTTTTCTTTAGCAGAACTTCTCCTTCTAGGCCTGTTGACATTAGTGGCACTGATTGAGAAAAGGGAAAGAAATAGCGATGCCATCTTAAACTAGCGAACCCACACAGTAACGTTTATAGTGATAGATAGATAATTTATGAAGTTATTTGGTAATTCTTAAGGATAATTCCAAGGAGTGTGTAATCCAGAGAGCTCAATGTAAAAACAGAGCAAATATTAATTATATTAAGAGATTTCAAGGGTTCATGGGATTATAATTTATTACATTTGGTCCTAATTCAGCAGCCTTCAGTTTTAGTTTCCCCCACCTCATCTCTCTCCCCCATCCCTTCTTCTTTTCTTTTCCTCTCCCTACCTCTTATTCTGATCTTTAACATTAGATCGTCTATGGTGCGTGTATGTTACCACGAAATGTATATTTAATGTATTAAACATCCGACAACATTCATGTTTCTCTCACTTAAACGTCTTCCACTCACCTCTCTAGAACTTCTCTCTGTTAAGGTTTAATCTCCCACCTTCTCTCGTCTGTTACCCCTCTCTTTAGCTCTAACATTCGTCCCACACTCTCATACTTACACTCTCTCTAAATTCTATTTTTATTTCCGGAGTTGTTTTTTCTGTTTTCTTTTTGAATTTGTAGGTCTCATGAATTGGATCGTATTTACAATTCCAATGAAATAAATTATGACCATGGAATATTAGTGTTTAAGCGTTTTTATTATATCTTTACTCTGTCCTGGACATTGAGTTCTACCTGGATTCTATCCTCTTGGAATTTTTTATTAAAAAATATACATGTATGTGAATGCACCTATGTATATATATTTATATATTTTGCATATATATGTGTATATTTATCACTAATATTATATATATATATATATATATATATATATATATATATATATATATATATATATATATATGTGTGTGTGTGTGTCTCTTAATGAAAATAGTAAATAGCTGACAAGTGAAATGCACTTCTGAAAACTATAATCGGAAGTTAAGTCATTTTAAGTTATCTATCTATCTATGTAAATATGTCAATTTTCCTTAACGAAACATATATATATATATATATATATATATATATATATATATATATATATATATATATATAGAGAGAGAGAGAGAGAGAAATAAAGCCTTTTTTGCTGTATCACAGCTCATCAGTGTGGCTAGGCATCTGAATGCTTCAAGCTGGGATCGAAACTCGATCGATTTGGCATCAGTCAGAGATCATGAGGGTGCAGCCCTCACATATAGCTGCCAAAAATACTATACTTAAAAGTAAGACAGTAGCTAGATAAAGACACAATTGCCACTAAGGTCTTTCTGAGCAGTATATGTGGGAGGTATTTCTTCTGCATCTTATATATATAGAGAGAGAGAGTGAGAGAGAGAGAGAGGGGGGAGACATACACACACGCTTGTTAGTATTAATATCCATGATAGAAATATGTGTCTCTTTTTTCGCAACTAAATATTTGTTCGACTGAATCAACTTTAAACTATTGCCTAAGGGTACGTTGTGAGAAATGTACTATCTAACAACAACTAGTCCACATTTCGCCAACCATACTAACCCGCCTTCAAATCCGGCTGAATTTCCATCCGTGTCTGTTGCATTCACAAATGCTGTTGGGAAAAGCATTAATCCATCAACTCTCCTCACCAGCTATGGATTAAAGGTATTTATTTATGGCAGTCATCTAAAGAGAAGAAATCTGGATTCCAAAACCGTGTTTTCTCTTCCAAATACCGTTTCTGTTTGACCTGCCTGTATCACTTAAAATGATCAGTTTTTCTTGAATCTATATTTCCTTTCTAAATAAACAAATTTTATTCGACCAAATGAGCCTCCATTGATAAAGAAGATTCAGTGAAAAGAAGGCTTTTAGTATCAACACTCTAGCTCGTGCTCTTGGTAACAAAGAAAAGGGTACTGAGCTGAAACGTGATATCTGTCGTCCTTTATGGCAGCGAATGTTGGACGATCTCCTCAAAGATGAAGAAGAGAATCGAGGCGACGGAGATGTGGCTCTACAGAAGGATGATACGGATATCCTGGACTGAGCGTGTGAGCAACGATGATCTCTTGGAGAGGATGCCAACAAGGAAAATGCTTATACTTAGCATCAGGAAGAGTTAGTTGATGTTCCTAGGGCACGTAATGAGAAAGAAGAGCTTGGAGAATCTGATACTCACATGTCGAATAGAGTGAAAGAGACACAAGGGAAAGCATCGCACGACATATCTGGTGGACTTAAGCAAGTGGATGACAGACCGTGGTCTGGGGTAGGTGGCAGAGGGACGAAACATATTGAGAGCTACAAAGGATAGGTGGAAGTGGAGAACCATGATCGCCTACGTCCTGAAAGGACAAGGCACATAAAAAGAAAAGAAGAATGGAATGTTATTTTATTGTTCTTACAATTTTATAATGCTGCGTAAAGTGTAAGAAAAAGGTAAGAAGTGAAATTCATGGGGTTATGTAGGAAATATAACGGTTAACCCTAGACTTGATGAGGTCAAGATTTTAGTCATTTAAAAAAACATGTTTTACAAAGCATCAATTCCTGGGAAGGATCTGCTCAAGTGGAACTTACACATTGAATACGAAGGGGGTGAGGATGATTCATCCCCGTGCACGTGGCTTGGTCAAATTTAGGATACGTTATTGATTCAAATCCCAGAACGTCGATGAGGGCCATCACCAGAGACCGTCAGGTTTTCCGAGAACGGAATCCGCAATGTGGTGCATCAGGATATTCGGTACAAGTCATACGTAATGTGGTAAGGAGAGTCCATGTCGGCACGTACACAATAACAAAGGTGTCTCCGAGTAAAACGATTACTAAACAAATTGAAACTTCCAGAAGGACCTGGCATATTCCGTTGTTTTGGTTTCTGGCCCTTGTTTCTTTCAGACGAGAAAATTTCAACCAAAATCAAAAAAATGATTTTAGTGGAATGGGAGTCATGAAGAACACATCGTGCCACCCTGACGTCTTTCAACAGGGTCTTCGATTCACTGCTACTTGCTACATTGATGTAGTAGAAACAGTTATGAAGCATTGGATAGATCTTGTAGGAATGGAAGACTATATATGTGTTTCAGCAGGACACTGTCCCTGTTCACATCTGCCGTGGGGTCCCAAGATTGAATGGAGATCAATCTGCACGACCTGGTCACACCAAGCCCTTGACTATTACATGTGGGACATTGTTAAACGTATGACTAATCAACGTTCCCACAATACGACTGATACCCGAAAGCCGTCATTGCCCGCGTAATGGCCAATATCAATACAAATAAAATGTGATACGTGTATGTCAACGATTCTAATCACGCAGTGAAACTATCATTGCGACTAAAAGCGATTACGCTGAATAATCATATGATCCAACCATTTATGTTCCATGATTCGTATGCATAAATTTCGTTGTTTGTAACATGTGTGCCTCCAGTTTGTCCTCAGATACCTTACCCACCTGTATACAGGGTGTAAGAAAAGTACTTCCAAACCAAGGAGAAAAGTCCATATATACATATATCCGCAAATTCTTCGTTTTTGAGTTATTAAGTTTTAAGTTTACGGATGAGGCTTTTAAATATATACATGATACAAACCAAAAATAATTTTACAAACTTAGGGCGTCCTGGGTAAGACCATAAACTGCATCCGCGTCCTGGGTAAGACGATAAGCTAGATCCGCGTCCTGTGTAAGACGATAAGCTGCTTCCAACAGCAAGGCTTCTGATCAGGTTTTTGAGGAGTGTGGAACCACCTCTTAATTGCTGGTGTTCTCAGGTGTACCCTGACCCGGATTGGTAGTACCTTTTTAGGGTCCCAGCTATGGGCAAATAGTTAACACTCAGATTACAATCGCGTCCTGGGTATGACGATAAACTATATCCGCGTCCTGGTTAAGACGATAAACTACGTCCAACAGCAATACGTTTTTGAAAAAAATAATGTTGCCAGATGTACGTCTAAAAAAAAAAATAATAATACCAGCTATACGTTTTTGAAAAAAATAATATTACCAGCTATACGTTTTTGAAAAATAATATTATCAGCTATACATTTTTGAAAAAAATTCTTACCAGCTATACGTTTTTGAAAAAATATTACCAGCTATACATTTTTGAAAAAAATAATACCAGCTATACATTTTTGAGAAAAAAATATTAACAGAAATGGATTTTTGACAAAACATAAATATTACTACGAAAAAAAAAGTTGACGGCATTAAATGACCCATTGAGGTGTTGATATGCCGTGAAACAAACCAAACCAAACTAAAACAAAACAAATAAACTTAGGGGGCGGGTTCCTGACACCAAATCAAGGTACAATATCCATATAAACATACGTCCAAATGGTCATCGCTGTACTTCAACACAACAATTCATAAGAAATGTTCAAAATATCCTCCGCTTGCTTCTACACGGGCATGCACCCGTCGGATCATTGACTGGCGGACTTGTTCAAATACTCCCACGCGATGTCGAAGGCTTTCGCAGTCCCCATGATACATTGATGAATTTTCTCTGCATTATTAATGCTTGACGTTTAAACCAATTGTTTTAGGTAGCCCCACAGATAAAAATCAAAGATTAAGGTCAGAGAACATGCATGATATGGAACCGGTCCTCCATTACCTATCCTGGACTTTATATGGACTTTTGTCCTTGTTTTGGCATGAAAAACCCTAGAGTTTGTAAAAGTATTTTTGATACACTCTGTATATTAGCAGCAGTCATAAATAATTTCCGTTTGGAGAACAATTTATAACAACGAATGTATCATCGTGACTAACGTGGGAATTAATAATATTTTTTTTTTTTTTTTTTTTTTTTCTGGTGAAATGGATATCGGCTCGGAAGGAGAGAAATCGTGGAGCTGAGTTCGAATTGCAGTCGGTCTCGTAATATTCACTTACGCGAAAATAAATAAGAAAAGGGAAGAATTCACTTAATGTCCTCCTAGCTATGGGCTTAATAACAAAGCAGACTAGGTCGTATAGCTTTGATGTTCAACCAGCCAATCGCAGAAAGAAACGGATACCTACTGCGGGAAAACATTCTCCCTGAAATCAGTCATGTATCGAAAGAAACCTGATCACCTGAGCGTATATCACGAATGCCACCTAACTCACTGAACTTAAGATATTACACTATAAATGCAAGGCGCTAAAAGGTCAATTTTTTACTATACTTCACCTAATACATTGCTCGAGAGACTCTCAATTTAGACGGTTACAGTCAAAATGGTTATGTTGAATGAGGTGTGTGGTAAGAATGAGCGAGAGTGTGGTAGGTGTTGGAGATTATGAGGATAAGGGGATTGATGACGGATTAACATTTGATTGGAAGAAGAAAGTATTAGCATAGACCTTACGGTTACATCTAACCATTTCAAATGTAAAATGATGAATCCTTGCAATCAATCTAATATTGTGCTTAAAGCCATAGAGCGAAGTTCATCAGGACAATTCATCATTATCCTTTATTCAGTTAGCGCATTTTGAACCGCTGTGGTCACCACTCCCCCATCTATTTCTGTCTAATGCTGTCCTTAAAGCCTCCGTCAGCGTTTTTTCCTGTCTACCACTTAATATAATCCTTAGCGGCGCATAATCTGCACTGGCCCCAATAATATGTTTTTATCGAAGCCAATGACGGGGCCCAGGTTCACAATGTCCTTCATCTCCTCTCACCATCCAGCAATGATTCGACAATATTTTGCCAGCCTTCTCTGCCCTCTGCGAGTGTTCGGATTTATTGCAGGTCTTCCTTAATTGTAAACTTCTCCAAAGGAAAAGTGAGATCTTTCTGCCTAGTTCTTGAAATGTCTTGGTTCAGCATTGTGACTATGGTGGTCCTTCTCTGAACTTTTTGAAGTCTGTCTTTTCAAAGTAAAACTCCATGGCATTTTTCAGTTGGACATTCTGTATCTATTTGCAAAATGTATCCAAGACGATTCCATCTTGCTTTCAAAATGAACAAAGAGTCTTTCTCGGTATGCAACATCTTAAATGATTAGTAAATGCTACGCGGTAACTGCAGAAGCCATTAGCTACTGCCTCAATAATATATATATATATATATATATATATATATATATATATATATATATATATATATATATAATCTATTACGTGAATTTCAATTGATCACATCCATACTTTTATTAATCAAATGTTCAAAGTAATATTTGAGAAGATATCAAAGTTTATTATGAAAACGTGTAACGAATTTCTTTTATCTAATAAATTCGGATGATAAACACCACATAAACGTTATATTTTACAATGATGTTCACCCTGTACAAGGCCAGAGAGCCACCCGAGGTAGAGGGTTACACAGTAATGGGAACAGTTTATGGTGATATGTGACAAAGATAACGGTTAACTCCAGACGAAGAGGTTAACATTGTAGTGATCGGGGAAGTATCCCCTTGGGTATCGGTTCCTCAAAGGTGCGATTCATCAAGGGAACGGGAAGGGAATGAAGGTGGTTCGCTACAATGTGCGCGGCATGGTGGGTCTTAGTCGTGAGTATTAGAAATGGTGGATCTTAGGAATGTAGTTTGAATATTTTGCATGGAAATAGAGAATAAATAGCGACAGTCTGGCGGCGTTTCGTCTGTGGGAAAGTGGTCGTAGGATGGAAAATAAGTCATCAACCACAAGGACGTGGAGACTGGAAAGTGAAGACAGGAGTAAATAGCTGTGTCATCAGCACAATAACGAGTTGAGAAACGATGCTACCAGCAAGATCTATCTATCTATCTATCTATCTATCTATCTATCTATCTAACTCGTCCATACCTATCTCATTCTGTTCATATCTATCAATCTATCTATTCATCTATCTCGTTGTTCATATCTATCTCATTCTGTTTCTATCTATCTATCTATCTATCTATCTATCTATCTATCTATCTAAGTCTCTTTTTTCTGTCTATCTATCTATCTATCTATCTATCTATCTATCTATCTATCTATCTCACCTTATTAAATATCCATCTCTTCAATTCTATCTATCTATTTATCTCAGTGTGGTCATGCATCTTTATATGACTTTTAGTGTGGTTTTCTATGTATATCTCTCTCTCTCGCGCGCGCTATATATATATATATATATATATATATATATATATATATATATATATATATCGTTTGTAACAGTTTTATAATATTTTCTGTTCATATATATGTCGGATTTAGCTAGCTAGCTAGCTAGATAGATAGATAGATAGATAGGTAGGTAGATAGATAGACTGAGAGGCAAGAAGTAATGTATAGTTAGCAGAATTTCTATCTGGTATATAATGTTCACTCTCTATGGTAAATTGCATTGAAAAGTGGTTTCTTTTTCAAAATACATGCTTCCTGCGAAAGTTACATGCTTTTAACATCATTATAGTGTGAACTTATCGATCCACTCACTTGAACAGATAGATAGATAGATAGATAGATAGGGTGAAAGAGAGTGTTGAATAGACTAACATAGATCCATGTTATGTGTTTGTGACAAAGAAGGTGATGATCAAATCTCAAATATAGATTAACGCAAAATTACCTAGCAGCGGAATTGAATCAATAAATCCTGCTATTTTTCTGCTGACGTCACTATAATTCTGACCAATGAAATTACTCGCCTTAACATTACTGAAAGCGTTTCGACAGGCTCTAATGTCTATCAGCTAATGCACATATACAAACTCGCTTGCATTACAGTATCTCAAATGATCCTCAAGCACATATTTATACATTCAAGTGTACGTAATTGTAGATTAACTCTGACGCACAATGGAAAATATATGTGCAAAGTAGAATTACGCGATATCCTGTTCTATAACTGAGTTCAAAATTCTCCAAATGTATTTTAAAATGTCATTATCTAATCATAACAGAAGGAATCACAATTCTACATTTCTTCTATTAATTATCTGTGAATTGCTATGAATATAATTTAGAGCATCCCCGCTGCCTTTTTACGGTTTTGCATTTAGAGTTGTCCTACTCATAGGCTACCCGACATCCATTATTAATTGATTAGTTTTTTTACGGTTTATCAACCCTTAATAGTTATTTAAAGCCATAAAATAACTTTTAGATTGTGAGAATATTTGGGGGAGATAATAAAGATGATAATTTATTTAGTGATACAAGTCTTACTAATTAATCCATAGCTGGGGGAGAAAAGGTACATTTATGCCTTTCCCAAGAGTATTTGCACGTAAGTGAATATAATGAACCCAAGCGGAATTGGAACTCGGCACGCCGATTAAAAATTCCGAGCCAATATTCATTATACCTACAGCACATCAAGAATTACATCATCTGGTATTCCCAAACAGTCACCCATCTAGGTATTGACCACGATCGACGTTGCTTAATGTCGGTGATTATATTGGTGTTTCAATGCCACTTAGTACTAAGGAAACCTAGTCTATAGAGAACTTGCTATTAATAAAGCTGGAATCAGAATACAGAGTTTCACACAATTCATTATTTATATGTATTGTGAGAATTTCAGTTTATCATGTTTGGTTTGTTTTCTTTTACGGCATATCAACCTCAATGGGCTATTTAATGCCGACAAGGTTGTTTATTGCTGGTAATATTTTTCATTTAAATGTATTACTGTTAATATATATACAGATAACTGAAATTTTTTATAAGATCAGCGTTCCGTTTTAATATGATCACGTCGTCGTCACGGAACCCTGATCTTATAAAAAAATTCAGTTATCTGTTTGGATTAGTCTTGCTTTTGTGTCCATCGTCTTTTTCATGTTGAATTGAATATAGTCTAATGTTAATTATGTTTTCTGAATATGTCCTGAAGATGGTCTATTAGACCGAAACGTCCGACGTTGACATTATATTAACATTAAAACAGCATAATTGCATATTAGGATTTTGATTGTTTTTCCGTATATTTTTCTTCATACTGTCAGATCTATATCCATATATTTGCTTACACACACACACACACACACACACACACACACACACACACACACACATATATATATATATATATATATATATATATATATATATATATATATATTTGTCAAAAATGTATTGCTGGTCATTATTACTGGTAAGTATTTCTGATACTAAAACCTATTTTCACACTTTCATAGTGTTTTTTTTTCACCCCAGTTTGGGGATTAACTATTTACCCATAGCTGGGACCCTAACTACCCCACCCCTGAATCAGGGTGGACCTGGGAAATAACAGTTGGTTCCACGTTCCTCAAAACCTCCTGGTCAGAGACCTTGCTGTCGGACGTAGTTTATCGTCTTACCGAGGACGCGGATGTAGTTTATCGAGAGTGATTGCAATTATATAAGCCTGATCGTCGATTTCAACTTTTGTGACGATAAGCCTATCACTACACACACATTCATGGTTACATTATAAAACACAGATTAACTCTCTGTGTGTTGGAGAAGCACAAATGTCCCTGAGAAGACGGCCATGCTCGGAGACCTGCAGCCATGCAAATTGTAGTGTGCCTTCAAGTCGAAATAGCACTGATAATGAATTAAATACACTTCATTGTTTGCAAAATGGAACGAAAAAATATTTTCTAAACAAAACTTGAAGCAGCTGTGTTTTTACGAAATTTTACCTTGTCTCGCACTTCTCGTTTGTGGAACTCGCTTCCGGCTCTTTGCTTTCAACTCAAGCGTGACCATTTAAATGCAATATTAATGGTTATCTCTTTTCTTCGTTTTCCTGTTCTGTTATTGTTTTCTCACTTAATAATATTTTCTTTTTCTTTTTCTCTTACGCTTTAACACTTAGTAATCCGATGTGTATTAATGGCTTTATTGCTTGAAATGATTTTAAAAAAGAAATTTATAAAAGAAAGTAGTAAAAGCGAATTATCAAAGCTCCATTTGACTGGTTGGAATACAAATGACGTCATCAGAGACAGGATATTTTTTATCAATGAATCTTTTTTTTTCTCTTTCTTTTCCCCTTTCATCGTCCTTTTTTCATCGTTCAATGAGTCATTGTAAATTTTGCCTTTTATTTTCAATTCTATTAAAAAGAAAAACATTTCTCAATCACTTTACATATACCTTCATGCAATATAATTTCCCTTTTTTCTATTGCATAAGCAGCGGATATATGGAATCTACGAACCTGGTTCAAATTTCGAACGAGACTGTTGCGTTCACTTTCGCACAATTTCCCGTATAGAAGGCATGAATCTATCTCTTTTCTCTCCAGCTTCAGGTTAAGTAGAAAGTTATAATGGTTTCTCTAGTTTTGAGTGGCAGCCAGTCTAGTAGACGTACAACTCTGAATTCAAATACTGGATAGAGTTTACCAGGAATCCATACATCTGTCTTTCCCCCCAAATTATGTCAATTCAAAATTTAATAAAGACCGTGTGGGGAGTCATTATTACCTACGTCTTAAATTGATTATCACTATTCTTTTATTGTTTCTATCTATCTATCTATCTATCTATCTATCTATCTATCTATCTATCTATCACGGTCTTTGTCTATCTGTCTATATCTCTGAGATGAGGTATTATGATTATGATTACATTGTTCGGACTGTTATCCACATCTTCAGTGACCTGAAGCTGGAGAGAGAAGAGATAGGTTGATGCCTTCTATACGGGAATTTGTGCGAAAGTGAACGCAACAGACTCGGTCGAAATTTGAACCAGGTTCGTAGATTCTATATTCCGCTGTTTATGCAATAAAAAAAGGGAAATTATATTGCATGAAGGTATATGTAACGTGATTGAGAAATGTTTTTAGAATTGAAAAATAAAAGGCAAAATTTACAATGACTTATTGAACGATGAAAAAAGGACAATGAAAGGGGAAAAGAAAGAGAAAAAAAGATTCATTGATAAAAAATATCCTGTCTCTGATGACGTCATTTGTATTCCAACCAGTCAAATGGAGCTTTTATAATTCGCTTTTACAACTTCCTTTTATAAATTTCTTTTTAATAAATTTTGTCATTTTATTATTTCTTCTAAACCCTGTTCTGCCATCCATTTGCTCAAACTCATTAATTAGGCCATGTGTTGTTTCCTCTTTGTCCTTCATGCCTTTATTCTGTCCTGTGAGTGTCAGATTTTCCGACCCTTCTTCCTCATTATGTGCCCTAGAAATTTCAACTATTTCTATCTGATGTCAAATATAAATTTCCTTTTGTTTCCATTTTCTCTAAAACTTCTTCACATGTTCGGTCTGTAGCATCCTCAGCATCCTCCTGTAGAACCAGATTTCTGTTAACTCAAGTCTCTTTTTCATCTGTGAGGACTTTGTCCAGAATTCAGTGCTGTATAGGAGCATTGATATCACGTAGCAGTTCATTACACTTTTCTTTGTTTCCAATTAATTTGCAGTGTAACACATGCACTCAGTTCGCATTAAAAATTTCCAAAATGTTTATATTTATGTGTAATTGTGCATGCTCCATTCGAATCTGGCTTGATAAAGTTGATAAAATCTACTGTTTTGGAGTTATCCACAGTAAAAGTTCGGATTCAATCGCGTCGTTAGCGGCCGCCATTACTCGCGTTGTTTGCATGCATTCGCTGCGGAATGCTAAACGCGGAAGACTACGGAAAGCTAAGCTCGGAACTGATCTTTCTTGTCTAAATTTGTCGCAATTACTGCGCAAGAGAACTATTTACGTAGACATGCTCACTTTGCGCAATGATAACTACACTGATAGCTATTCTGCATTCCATACCACATCCCAAACGAATCTACCAATAAAATGGTAATAACCATTACTATTATTACTATCATATATGATATAAATGTATGACTTGTCTGACTTCAATGTTTCAAGTATGTAGTCGTGAGTTAGCTGAGAAGTGTCCTGTTTAACAATGGCAAGGTATTTATATCGTGTGTATGGAATATATGATTTTTACATAGGGCCTCGCGAATGTAAATGGGCGCGAGGCTGCACGGATGCATCAGATTGCGTTTCCAGACCAAGTTCTGCCGAGTCATCCAAACTTTGCTGCTGTTTATCGTAGTGTTGCTGAGACATGATCCGTGTGACTACAAGG